ACATGATTGCTCCATGCAATAAATAAATCCCATACAAAAATAATATAACTTACTATTGTAGTATCAGACTCCAGTTGACATGCATAGACTGTATTAACAACTATATCATGACCATCATCACCAGGCACTGCTCCACCAAACATGACAGCTTTATTATTAGTAATCTTTTGAATAGCAAATACACTAGTAGGAGGGCAACACTGACCACTAATAGTTGGAATTATCCATTGTCCTAAATAGAAACAGAATTATTAATACTAATATGACACTGGAAATATCATGTATATACAATGTACATCAAGAGTAGATAATACATGTATACAAGTATGGCATAAAATAATGGCTGCAAATTTATTTAATGATTCACAGTTTGGTGAAAAATAAGATTTAAATTTTGTTATTTTGTTTGACATCACTTTACACAGATACATGTCAGTTGTGGCTCAATATGACAACATTTAACACTATCATTCATAAATGGAGTAAAATGATTATTAGAGTTCAGTAAACTGAATGAATGAATGAATGACAGACAACAAGACTACCTATTCCCTCAACCACACAAAGCATTGGTGAGGGACATTAATGAATAAATTTAATTAGACCATGTAGACAAATTATTAATAGGTGGAGTAGGATGCATCCATGCTTAAAGGCTTCATTTCGAATTTTGTATTTTTACTTTTATGTAGATGATATAACTCAAAATTAGTTAGTCAAATTAACTGTCTCTTCATACAATGATGGCTCATGCTCACTCCTTCAATGTTTACATGCACCTAGAGTAAACTATCAATAATTGGGCACCACCCATTTTTGGACGCTTGTTTTAGGAAAATTATACCTTGCCGTGTCATGAAACTGCAGAATATTCTAGTAATAGTTGTACTTTACTTGTGTGAAAATAATTTTAGCTCCAGCCACAGTGCATCAAAAGTTATCAGCTCTCAAAGCATGGTGCCCGAAAATACATATATTCGGCCAAATTCATCAATATTTGTATTATTAATTCTAAATGGCAGAAAACAATAGTTTTAGAAAGTCACAATGATACATGTACATGCAACTTAGTAGGCCTGTCCTTCAACTAACTTTCACCAGCTGGATCTTTTTGATAGCTGTCTTTTTGAAAGTGAAAATGACAACTTAAATGTCTCACCTGATTTATCAATATTCGGACAAACTTAACAAAAACATTAAAAATTGACTTTTCTCTGTAAAACTCTGTAAAATAATTACTTTAAAATAATTTTTGTAAAATTTGTCCGTGTATTAATAAATCAGATTAGACACTTAAG